CCGGGCTTGCATTCGCTCGATTTTCGGGTCTCGATCCAGCGTCAACATGCGGTGTTCTTCATGCAGATGAGTCACGATGTTGGGAGGTCGGACGAGCTGCCCTTGAGCTGCTTGGGTGCCCAAGAGGTGCCCGAATGGTGAGGTTGGCTAATTTTCTGGTCGTCTCCGTTCGTGCCTGTCGTTCGGGGGTTGGCGACGAGCTCTTTCGAGTCCGGGGCGAGTCGTGAGCGGACCTTGGATTCAGCTGATCCAATTGTGCTTGGTAGTTCGCCTGAGCCGTAGTGAGAAGTTCCAACCTCAAGTTGGTGCTGCAGGCATGTTCCTCCTGTCGATCGAATCGTTGCATGATGACATCCATCATAGCCGTCAGTGGGTCATGAGCTCGCTGGGCTAGAGCGGTTTCTTGCCCGATGGGCTCGGTCTCGAGGGCGGTTCGGACTTCCTGGTCGGTGACGTTCTCGACCGTTGGTTCGATCTGTAGGTCAGATTTCCAATGCCATCCTCCTGGTTGACGGCGTTGTGTTCGGGCTGAATGTCCTCCATTTTCGGGTTGGGATCGTGCGTTAAGAGAATTTCAAGCCCCCTACCTGGCGCGCCAATTGTTGATACGTGAATTCGACAATATATTTGTTAAACAGTAAGAGGCTCAAAAATTCTCTTTTATTGATAACGTGTTCGGAAATGGGTTACAAACAACGTATAAATAAGGAGAAATGAATGTAAAGGACGTTGAGCCCGGAAGCTTATAAGCTGACGAACCTTGTGCTTCTCCGATTAACTGAGTAACGAGATCGGTGTTCTGAGACCGGAGACTGAGTGACAGGTAGGTGTAACGAGGTCGGAAACTGAATGATAAGTACGTATTTTGAGGTCGGAACCTGGTGATAAGTGCTATGTGATCGGGGTAAATTCGGATTCTGCAAGCCGTTTTCTAACGAACTTCCGTACGATTCCGGCGGAAAACGTTCGAACATAATTCTTTTCCCTTTTTCAGTGAGTTAGAATCCTGAAAACCGTTGGTCTTTCAGATCCCTTGTACTCTCCTAAGGGTAATAACTGATAGATAATAGAAGGTGGGGGGACCCTTATTTATACTAGATGGAGGAGGTACATTAATGTAGGGTTTCCCTTTGGACTTGAGTTGGGCTTTTAATTCTCTCTGGCCGAGCTCGGCAAGATGGACTTTATAATTTGTCAATTATAAGGCTCATGCCCAAAAACAATATAAAAGTCCATAACAGAACAAAAACCTAATGGTTCGGTTTCGGTTTGAAACCGAAAAACCGAATTTGAACACGTATAAATCAAATGAACAAGCAAAAATGAATCAAAAAAGCATCATATTTAAATAGTTTTGAATCTAAAATCCATAATGAAACATGAAATAGAACACAATGAAATAAAAAGTCAATAACCATAAGTAGGGTAGGCATTCGGTTTTGCGATTCGATTTCGGTTCAATTGTAAGTAAAATGAGTCCATATAAAACCAAAAGTGTTATGGTTCGGTCTCGATTCGGTTCTATTTTTTGGTTATGGGTATTTTTGCCTATCCCTCTATAAATCAATGCAAAGAAAACACGAGCTCAGATACTTTATTATGCGACAAATGAAAAACGCAAGTCACACGGACACACCGCTTTATTAATGCCTGCTTTCTTGTCTGAGATACTTATCAGGCTAGAATCCTCTGCTTTCACATGCAGCGGTTTTACATACATATTACGACAGTGAAATGAAAAAGTTTCTTAGAGAGCCTTGAGGATGTCATCGGCGCTGGAAACTGTGAACTCGCCACCAGATTCAACATTGGCGACAGTCACCTTGAGGTTATCGAGCAACAGAGCAAATCTCCTTGACCTAACACCAAGACCCTTGTCCTTAAGGTCAAGCTCAAGTCCAAGAAGGTGTGTGTATTCTCCAGACCCGTCCGCTACAAACTTCACATGCTTGTTCTCTGGGTACGTCTTTCCCCACGCTTTCATCACAAATGGATCGTTCACTGCAACAATCGAGTCAAAGGGTGGTATGATTACAGTATAAAGCCAAATCGCATATACCAACCGAACAAAACCGAAATTCATCAACCAAACTGAATTGCCCTGAAGAACCAATTTTATCAAAATTAAGCCAAAAAATAAATAAAATTGAATGGAAATTTCATCCTAGTAATCGAAATAACTGGAACCCGACTAACCATCAAACTATCTATAACCTATTTCAGTTTAATTTGTTCCTCCTTTACAATACCAGAACCAAAATGATGAATTATTTCCCATAACCGAAACGGCGAACCCCCAACTACCCGAACCGAACCGACTACCTGAATTCGGACGACTAGTCTATACATATGGGTCGGTCTTTCAAAACATTTGCACACATGGAGCAGATATTATTGCTCTGCATTTATTAGGGCCACCAACTACCATTCACCTTGTTGACTACTAAACAAATTCAATATATTTCAGAAGTATACAAAAGCTCATAGGATCAGAGATCAATACTGTTTATACCAAAGCATATCGAACTCACCGCTAAAGCAAATGATTTCATCAACACCCTTTGATTTAAGCTCTTCCGCTTTCTCAATGAATCCAGGGACATGCTTCATGCTACATCAGGAAAAAGGAAGAACACACAATCAAATCACAAATCTCAAATCGTATCAAAGGATCCATTAGCTAAGCATCAAACCCTCATCTCAACCAGCAAACACAACTAATTCGACTCAGAACATGAAAACGGTCACTCTCAGAGCACATTTGGGAAACGGATCCCGAAATTGACGGCCACCAATACAAACTTTACCGATCTATTAAAAACGAAAGGTGGTCTATGAGGTTGGAAGAATTGATTTCACCTGCAGGTGGGAGTGAAAGCGCCAGGGACACCGAAGAGAATGACCTTCTTACCAGCGGCAAGAGAGTGAACGGAGACGGTCTGGAGCTGATCGTTCTCGTCGAAGAAGGAGATAGTTCCGTCTGGTACAACATCGCCAACTTTAATCGGAGCCATGAGGAAGAGATCGTAGGATCAAAGGATTTGAAGAAGAAAGGGGTAATGAATGAGAATGTGGAAGAATACTGTGTCTAGAGTTGTGCTTTTAAAGCGAAATGAAAATTTAGGGCTTCGGACAATTTTATCCTTGATTTCCGAGGAACCACACATATTTCTCCATCATTAATTAATTTCTAAAATTTTACAAATTACTATCTTGATCCACAGTTACAGGGTCTTTGACCTAATCCACAGTGATCCTTTATCATGGAATCTACGCTCGCTATCTGACAATATGAGATATAAGATGTTTTCAGTTTTTTATTTTGTTCCATATCATAATATTTTTTCAAACTTCTAAGCAAAATTTAATACATTATTACTATTTATATTCTGCAATATTTTTTTTCATTGGTTAATTTGATTTTAATTAAATGTTATAGGGTGTTTTTAATAT